CACTAAAAGCTGGCTTGGGAATCTGCTGAATTTAAGCCCAGGGTATGGGTTATTATCTTACAACCTTGGTCACACATATCTGTGATGATTCATGAAGAGTCTCCAGATATTTATTTAATGAGAGCAGAAAACCCAAACAGAGCATCATGTGGTTACAAAAAGAATTTTAAACAAAGTCCGTGAGCCGGGTGCGAGCCGGGTGCGACCCTGTCTTCTATAAACAGTATCCGCTACGCATCATTCTGCTGGTTATCCCACAAGGGCTGGGGTGGCCAGGCCAAGACACTCAAACCACAGGGCACTGAACTCCCTCGAAGCAGAGGAAACAGCGTGGGGCTTGGGGAATGGTGGGTCTGTCATAGGTAGATCGGCTAGTCTGGTAGCCAGATTGTTTTAGGAACTAGAATATTCCCCACTGTCAGCTCCCAAGGAAGGTTTTTTTTTGGGCATAGGAGGAGATGCTGGGCTTTGAGGTGTGAGCCACTGTGTTAGGCATTTTATTCAGATCAGTGCATTTAATCCTCGGAGAAGGATGTTAGGGTCCTTCTGGTCACAGATGAGGATGATGCACAAGGAGAGAGGTCAACAGTTAAGGAGAATAGGGCTGATGTCATCTAATAGTGACGTTCTTCAAGACCCAACCATAAGCTAGATGTATGATTTAGAATCTTCTAGTGGGTACACACACACACACACACACACACACACACACACACACACACACTCTCTCTCTCTCTCTCTCTCTCTCTCTCTCTCTCAAGTGAAGTTAATGTTTTATTTATCCCAACACATCTAACATACTATTATCTCAACATTTATCTAATATTTCCTCCTTTTGGTTATCGTACGAAAGCTTCAGAATTTGTTTCAAATTGTATGCTTACAATCGACTACCTCCGTGCGGACTACTCACATTTCAAGTCATGCCTGCCTCCAGGTTGCTGTATCATACAGCACATGCTAGGCCGCCTCCCTTCATCCTTGGATCCAACTGCATCCCTTAAGGTCTGTTTTGCTCTGTTTACTGAACTGTATTTTAATATGATGCTCTTGACTTTTAGTGAAGAACACACCCTGTGAAATGTCACAGTCCCGGCTGTAGGTGATTGCTTCCAGACCTTTCTCTGCCCTCTACACCCTGTGCTATTTAAGTGGGCTATTTCATTGTTGTCCTTTTGAAATGCTGTGCCTCCTTCTTTATCATAATTTGTATTTTGTAGCTGGTTTTGTTTTGTTTTGCATTAGCTACTAGGAGGCTCAGGCCCAAATTGGACTTGATGGCAGCTATGGATTAATTCAGTTCATGAGTTAACGATGAACTATAATGACATGGTTGGTTAAGTGTTCTGGACCTCATAAATACGCACCATGTGTTCCCAGTAAAGTTTTCTTACTGAAGTTGAAAGTGAAAAAAAATTTGCTTGAATTGAAAGTGACTTAGATTTTGTCTGGTAATGAATAAATGGTGTCCATTCCACCCTAAGACAAAAAGGCACTAGAGAAATTGTATCTGTGAGCAGCGTGGGCAAGTCTGCTATTGTGAGACAGACCATGGGTATATATGTTTTTAACGTTAATTTTGAAGCTCTCAATAGATGTTTCTTTCCTGAAAGTTCTTAAACTTGTGCTTCCAAAATTAAGAAACAGATTATTAAGCCTTTCCTTGTGTGATATAAGGAAAGGAAAGAAGGGTAGATTATACTTTCATGGTAATGCAAGAGGAGCATTCCTCCCTTTGCAGAAATGGTACACAGATTAAGGCCACTCATGAATGCTGTGAGAATCCACACACACTTTTGAAACAGAGTGCAGATGTGTGTCCAGACTGTGTATAGGTGAGTGTTTTTCTCCACACTAGCAGGGGCACATAACCGTCGTGAACATCTCAGCCTGGTAAAGGTTCTGCAAGTTGAGCGACAGCCCACCTATAGAAACATGCACATCTGGACCACAACTGGAGTCTTGCTGTTTTGATATGAAGAAAAGGAGAGGGGAGCATAGAGGAAGGGAGGAGTTTCTTGTCTCAACTCTTCAGACACTTATGTCACCCTCGATTATCTCATTCTCCGCCGTCCTTCACCTCCTGTTAACCACTATTTTTGGTTGTTTGCTGGATACTTTCAATAGGTGATGTTAAACAACAGTCAAATGCAAAAGAAAATAAAACCTAGGATCAGGTGGAGGGTCAGAAAAAGCTCTTGAGAAAGGGGAAGCAAGCGTAGGGGAAGGCCGAGGGGCTTGACACATGATCAGGTAACAGGTCCCAGAGATCGCAGCAGCCAGCATAACGGCACCCCCCAGGAGTGAGGGGTCCTAAGATTATATAAAATCAGATGATTTTTCTTTCCAGAGTCCACCATTTCTGTTAGCAGGCTTCACTTTCAAGACACATCCAGAATTTCACCTCCACCATCATTGTTTCAATCTGCCCAGTCTGTGAAGGTAACCGGCAAAGTTCAACTACAGAGCTAGAAGAACATAGATTGGAGAGTCAGATCAGCAATTGCTGTTCTAGGAAGGGTTTTGTTACACACAATGGAAGACTCAACAGATGTTCGGCCAGGAGAAATTGATGGAAGATGGAATAAGGCTTAAAAAATAAACACATGTATACATATATATCCATACATGCATGTATACATACGCATATATGTGTTTATATATGAGTGTGTGTGTGTGTGTGTACAGGGCGGGGGTGGGGGAGAGAGAGACAGAGAGAGAGACAGAGAGAGAGAGAGAGAGAGAGAGAGAGAGAGAGAGAGAGAGAGAGAGA